TCTCCGACTCAGATATGATATTTTTGTTTTCTTAAAACTTGTAAAAAATACAAGAAACTAAAATAAATGTCCAATAAATTACGTAAAAATGTACAATAATTCTTGAAATAATGGTACATCGCTCAACTATTAGAAACAACTAGATCTAGTTATCTGGTGATTTCTAATGGCTGAACGGTGTACCATTATTTCAAGAATTATTTTACACTTTTACGTGATCTATTGGACAGATATCTTACTTTCTACAAGTATTTTTTACAAGTTTTAAGAATATGAAAATATAATATTCTGAAGGGAAAAGTACAAAATAAAGCTATACGACGCAAGAAACTTTTTACATGTCATTTCTCATCTGTGACTTCACATAACCCATGTCGCGCCTCAAGAGAACCGAGTTTTAATAACCAGTTCTAAATAATTCCATATATACCTTTGTAATAAGTTATGGTGATATATAGTGTATATATATATATTCATAGATCTTATTTATTTTTTAATTTTCCTAAATTGTTCTTATCGAAATGTTGAAATGCTTCATATAGTCATGCTTCATATAGTTCGATGATAAATTTTAATAAGTAGCCAAGCTCATATAACAATTTCTTATTTCTCAGAAATCTGTATATTGTTTGGTTTGAATCTTCATAAAGAAAAGAATATTTAAAAGAATGTAATAAAAGAACTATTTTGTGAGCTTGCTCAAGCAATACGCATTAAAAAATTTGATGCATTTTATTTTTCAATAAGATACCGTTCAAATATTGAGTGAAGTGAATATAAAAATTAAAAAATATGAACTTTAAGATTGATTGTGCGAATAATGCTGTTTTTCTCCTATACTGTTTAGTGTAGTATCTAACTATTTACAAAGATCGGATCTGTATAATATGAAAATATCTCAAAAAAAGTCTCGAACACGCGTATATCGCGGGCGAGTATCGCTATCCGTCTTCGGTATTTGCATTCCTACTCCGCAATGCACATTCCCTCCCGACTGTTGTCGGTACTCTGTTCGTACCAGGCCGCACAGCCTGGCACGAACACTGCATTTCCAAGCTGGGGCCACTTCCTCTCCTCTGCTCTCCTCTCCAGTACCATCAGCGTCTTTCTCTCCTACTCTCATTTGTCTCCCTCTCCCTAATTGACAACCGCTCCTCACCTCTCCACAGCTTCTCTTTCCCTCTTTTTCTTCATCTCTTTTCTAGTCGTCTCGTCTCTTCTCTCGCAATGATGAAGCACCCACATACACAGAACGCGGCTTACTTACACAGCTAAACTCTTACCTCCTTCATGCGCTCCTCACTTTCCTTCCAGCGAATTCAGTGATTTGCGGTTCGTTTCTGAACAAATGTTGCAATGATAAATGATCAATCGATATGTATCATCGCGAATATTGATTGTTTATTTACAGAAAGGCAGAAAATTGTAAAGAATGTCGTTTTGAAAAATTGATTGTAAGTTTCTAAAAGGTTTTAGAAATAGGCAAAATTTTTTTCTGAAATTTCTCAGAAATAAATAATATTGCAATCTTTTTACCTTTTTTTATTAACTTCAGCGATTTATTGATTTTACTGAATTAGAGTGAAATGATAATTGAAATATAACTTGAAAAATTGATAATCCGCGTCGTGAGAAGTTTCAGAACACATGTAAATGTCTTTGTCTAGTGAATATCTGAAAAGAATTCTATTTCAGAGAAAAATTTTATCCAACGATATTTTCTATTTACATATATATCACTTTTCATCCAAGCATGACCGATTTTTTTTAAACATTAATCACAATACTGTCAGCCGATTGTAGCACAGTGATCGTAGGATCGCTTTCTCGTCCAAGGACAATGATATCAAGGATTCTCCTGTAATGAGAAAGTCTCCATAAACGAGTCTCGATTGCTGTATGATAAGTCCTTTTAAAGAAGATCTTTTTTTCTTTCAAAATACTTGGAAATATACTTGGAAATAAACGCATAAATATAATGAAAGAAAGCTCATTAACTCGAATAGGACAATTAAAGATTATTTTTCTTTATTCAGAAAGTTATAATGCAGAAATTCAGATAGTAACTGTAGATTTTTTAGGATCCAATCTGAAAACAGAAAATATTATCAATAGTTTCATATTATCATAATTATTGATTCATCTTAATTATTTGAATTTTTATCGTTATTACATTATTGCAGTTGTGAGATTATTGTAATTATCTTACATTATTTCATTTTTCTTTACAAAATATGAAATGTCAACTTCATATTAGTTAAATATAGTAGTACATAAAGTTATTTTAAAAATTTTGTTAAAGTTATAACTAATTTAAGTTCATTACTTCGAGTTATAATTAATTCAACTTCAATGTTTCGAAATTAGAGTTTCTTATTATAGTATATAATAATTATCTTGTATTTTGATTATTGTTTGGATGGAAATAGCAACAAAAATGCATCGGCAAAGAGTTATATTCTTAAAAAAATGTAAATTACCGTAAATTATTCGGATTTCTTTGTAAAGTTGACATCTCAATGGAAGCTAAGTTTATTATTATCATTATTAATAATCATTATTAATAATTCATATATAATTTATAATAATTCATAATTAATATTATTGTTAATAATTTAAATTACGCATCATCGTCTAATCTCGTTATAAAAACAGCCATATTCGAATATCAATATGTATTTGCTTATGAAAAATCTCGCGTCATTGTACATAAATCGCGATATTTCTTCCATCAATGAACAAAAATCATCTGGAGATAAAAAAAATCTGAAGATTATGAGATACAAGACGGTTCTTTATAGTTCATTTTCTTATCCCGTCTTACGGATGCTACGCAACAAATTTCAAAACATAAATTTCAAAACATCTTTATATGCCTGTTTGAATACGCATATAAATTTTTTGCTTTTGTGTATTTTTGCTTTTTCAAGAAATTATTTGAATATTTGTAGAAAAATACATTTGATTTTACGTCAAATATTTTATAAATACGATTTTGAAAAGACTTTTGCTCTTACAACTTGCGTAATCATTTAATTTAGATTTATTTTCTGTAGTTATATAACAAAGGATGGAATATGCCGTAATTATGAAGACGGATGTTCGTAATCTTAATTTTTATTCACTAATTTAGCATCACTGGAATAATATTTTGAATATTTTTGTCTTTCGATTATTTTAAACAAAGCAAAAAAAATATAATCAAAATGCTATTAATTGACACATCTCCCAATTGATTTCATTATCATCATAGTGTTATTATGTTGAACCTTATTAATTAATATTAATATAAACTTTTTATGATACAAACTTTTTAATAATTATTCATAATACACATATTTTTAGCAAAAATAACTGATTAGTCTTTCATTAAGAATGAAAAATGTTTATAGGTAATTAAGAGGAATAAATTAAATTTTGCATGCTATATTCTTATCGTATGATACTTAAACAACATGATCTGTGTGTTATTATTTTTTATTATTTTTATTTTTATATTTGATTGGAGAGAAAAGATTGAATTGTTAGAAATTTTATCTAATCAAAAAATTGATCGTTGAAATATTATTATTTTATTTAGAAACAAAATGTCTTTTATACATCCAAATTAAGTTAAATGTCTTTATATACATTATTAAATGTCTTAATATACATCTAAATGGTAATTCTTTCGAAATAAATAATTTGTCCAAAATAAATATGTCCATATCTATTAAATTAAAAAGTTCATGGAGTTACAAACTGAAAATGTAGATTTAAGATTACTTTTGACAAATTCTTTTGGCAGTGTCATAGAAATGAGATTTTTGTGTCACCACTGTGTGAAAAAAAAATTTCTTTAATTTCGATATGATTTTAATATTAAGACTTTTGAGGTCGCTTGATCTGAATATGTTATCGGAATTTCCAAAATTCACAATGACGAATTCAATATGGCGAATTAAAATTTGAAAAATAATTGGATTCTTATAAAAATGATTATCCTAAGGTTTCCAAAGTCGCTGAATCTGAATATGATATTCGAATTTCAAAATTCAAAATGATGGGTCCAATATGATGGATAAAAGTTTGAAAAAATATTTTTTTTCTATATTTGGATTCAGTGGCCTCAAAAATCAATTTCATATAAATTATACAAGGATAAATTGATTTTTTTTTTAGATGTGCATATATACTACAGACACACCGGTAGCATATTTTTTTTCATGTCTTTTGCTATATATATTGTGAAGAGATTAATTCGACATAGTTAAGCGAAGAAGAAACAGTTATTTAAATACAGTTTTCTGAATACAATTATTGTAAGAAAATTGACAGTAAAACATGGCAGTCAAATTAAAAATAATAAATAATTGTTCTTCGACATGCTAATAATTGATCCTTGATAATTTCATTTTACGCATATTCTATGCTAATGTAACGACATCTGAAATTCCTGAAGTCTGGAAAGTTTCTTACGGCGTAATTGTCTTCAATTGTGCTTCAATATCTCAGAGACACCGCGGGCAAAGTGATGAAATGATCGTCACGCGAAAGTTCATCGGATGAGGAGATTCGCTCAAAATAAAAAAAAGAAAGATCGAGAAGAATCCTACCTTCTATAATGGTTACACCTAGAAACAACAGTTTCCCGGCGGCAGGCATTGAACCTTTCACCTATCACGGCAGCAATATTGCTTCTCGGCCAATCCTTTCATGTTCTATGTTTTCTGTTACAGGCGATGGTTGCGGGAATAACATGTTCAGGTGCAACGATGGCAAATGTATACAGTCGATCCTAGTGTGTGATTACCGTGGGGACTGCGACGACAACAGCGATGAAATGCAATCGTGTCGTAAGCATTCTGTCCGAATTTCATTAACTTTAAAAAATAATTAAACTTAGGCACAAGTTAGTCACAAGCATGTCATCGTGTCTCACAGTACGATTGATTATGCGGGGTATTTTTTAATATAAAATATTCAGTAATTTCACACACACATACTATTATTTTTTACAATACAAAATGATTAATTACAATCTCGATTAAAAAATACATACACAATTCTGAAAATGAAACTAATGCATGTTGACGCTCATTTTTAGCGTTAAAATAAGTCACGTAATCAAAGTTATGAAATTTGAACTTTTGATCATATGTTCTGCATAAAAAGATATCGTTAAAAAAATTATAGCTTTTTAAACATCTTTTCAATTAATTGATTGATCTAAAAATCGCTACTTATGATTATTGTATGCAATATTATTAACATTATTTATATAATTATTTTTAAAAAACGCTTTTTGAAAAATATGATATTTTACATTAAGTCCATAATTTATAAGTTTGAAATTAAGAAAATTGTTTTATATATATAAATTGTCATTTTATGATACATTTTATTTATAATAGGAAAATTTCTTTATATATATAAAAGAAACTGAAGCTTTCTATCATATATGTATAAAAGATATATGTATAAAAAGTCTTTCTTCATTATCATTAGTGTACGTTTAATTTTATTGTTGCATTAGCTTTCTAGCTTGACAATAATGTATATACTTTGATAAAACAGTTAGAATTTTAATGAAACTTTGATGGAGCATGTCTTCATACGTGAATTTAAATCGAGAAAATATCTTCTATTTGTTTTGATGAATAATTAATAATGAAGTGCTTCGTTAAATAATAATAAAGGGATGCGTATATAACCCGTATCCGTTAGCCTCATTACAACTCAAATGATAGAATTTTCAGAATAGAGATATATCGTTTTCATTCAGTGCTCTTGGTTGGCAGGTAGATTTATGACTTTAAGGACCTCCCCTCCCCAGAACATACGTGCACAAAGTCACCTTTGTATACTATAATAATGCCATAGTTATGATACCATTAAAAACTGAGAAAAAGATTAAAAAATGAATCCTTAATTTTAAGTTGATATCAAGATAAAAATAAGATAAAGTCTATTAAATTAAAATTTTATAAGACATATTGAATTTTCTGGGATTGTCCGGAATTGTATTAATTGATATGTCCGAAAACGCTTAACGTAATTATGACTGTGGTTTTTTTGGAATGGCCGATTTTTGATACATTTTTCCTGTTTATGAACAAAATGGAATTGATAGAAACTATGTACGGTTTACAATAAATCTCATGCCGGAAGTATTCAACGAAAATTCCGAGGCTTCCTCTCGGAAATGCTTAATCTCTTTGTCCAATATTTTTTTTCCATGCGACTGATTATATGATCGCTTTTGTGATTCTTTTCTTATTGTTGGATTTACATTACAGGAAGTGCAATTCAATTTGTGTTATTTTTCCATGTGCGCAAGAACAATTAATATTTTTTCAACATTTTAAAGCGGAAAGAAAGAACCAGTTAGTGATTAACAAAAAAATGCAAATTTTGACGTTTAAAATATTTATTTGAAAATCAATAAATAAAAATATAAAAATAAAAATAAAATCTTTGACTTTTAAAAAAACTTTTTAAGAAAGAAGATCTTTAAAAAGATTTTCTTTCTTGACATTATTGTAGCGTTGAAAGAGATAATGTTTGGTTCTGTGATTTTTTTTCATCATTTTGTACTTCTGCTATTCAGACTGCATTCAGACTGCCAGTAGTGGCTGTGAGTATCGTTCAAAAATATACTACAGTAAATACAGTAAACTTTTGACGAGTTTATGAAAGCATGTAACGTCATAGATCACGTCGTCACTTTCTGCTTTCGTTACTGCGGCTGACGAGATAAGGCATTTGCAGAATAGAAAAATGGCGGTTATGCAAAAAGTAACTTTTGAGAATGTCTCATTTTATGTATAATATACGTATTCTGTTTATGTGTTATCTGTATCTGTATGTGTTATCTGTATAAATATTAAATTTATATATAATTTATTTATCGAAAATTTTATTATTAAATTTTATTAAATTTTATTAAATTTTTTATTAAAATCACTGTCTGTTAAAGAATTAACTACTATCTATCTAATCTAATTACATCTACTACTATATAATTTTTATAGCGTGGTGTTAAATATTTCTTATTAAATAATATATTTTCATCTTCTTTATCTGTAGAATCATTTGATTTCGATGAATCAAATAATTTTATAGATTGAATTAAAATTGTAGTTGTTAATATTATTATTATTTATTATTATAGTTATGTATGTACATTTAGTCATCTAACAAGGGAAATATCGGAAATATCCCCCCGATTTTAATGAGCTTCGAGTAGTAGTATGTTAAAATATGGACAGAAATAAGGGACACATTTTTTTATTTGCGTTTTTGAACATTAACGGGATGAAACCACCCCTTGAAAAAAATCGGTTTTTTCTTCCTGGATAAATATCGTCCAAATCGTTAAAGATATCAAAAAATGTTTTAAACAAAAGTTTTACGGCTGCAAATGCACTTTACAACGACGTATTTGAATTTTTCAAAAATGTTACATTTTTGAGCCCCTCCATCCCCTCTCCTAATTTTCAAAAATTTTTAAATTTTTATAAAGACATGAATTTAAGAGCATTTCATGCTGAACGGTATATAATAAAGTCATTTTCCGAAATTGCATTTTTGCGAAATAAACGAGAAATACCTCTATATACCCGCTCCATACGTATTCGTCTCATATCGCGTTGGCTGCGCGGAACAACGTTAAAGGTGAATATGACGCAGTTCGTCAATACAGTGCAACAATAATGATTGAAATAAGAGCTTTTTAATACTTTTTTAATACTTGTTTTATACTTTTCAAAACTTATTTTATACTTTTTGTTATAATAATAATAATTATCAGAGCAAAATTGTATCAGACAGCTCGTATAAATTAACAAGAGGAAAGAAAGGCCAGTGAATAAGCGAAAACGAAGTGATGTGATAAAAACAAATTCGAATAAACAATATTTATTGTAAAAATAACAATTAGCAGAATTACTCTCAATATAAATTTGATATTGTCCATTTCGGCTTTGTGGAGCCTTCTTCAGCAATTTTTCTTAATAAAAGCGATAAAAAACGAAGGAAAATTGAAAATGCATAAAAATGCTGGTTCGATGAAATTATAGAACACACATTTAGATTAAAGCGT